GTCTTCGTCAAGCTACTGGTTCTATCCTCTACTCTCCTTACTTTATAGTTGTCTTCGTGAAGTCATTGCTTGCCAGTATGATCTGTTTGACTTCACTCCTTGAAGACTAATATCTTTTTAGCTTCGTACTATCTTCCTTTCTGATCATGTCTACCTAGTTGCAGTTAGTCTTCGTGCTTTCATTGTATTGTATGTTTGACTAATGCTTGCCTAGTGTAGTTTTCATTCCGCGGCTTACTATATAGGCTCAGTTTACCTGGTTTGCTTCAAAGCCTCCGTGTTTTGAAGACTTCCATAAAAATCGCCTATTCACCCCCCCCCCCTCTAGTCGATAACTAGCACTTTCACATGGCGCCTAATCTTGATGGCGGGGGTGGAACAACATCTCGACGTGGTGGTGACACCATCATGAGTAGGGGTGGAGCGGCTTCCCACCGTGGCAATGACTACCATGTCACACTATGTGGCATCCACAAGTGTAGCCCTGGAGCGACCGCTCCTCTCCCTTTGTGGCCAGTCTAGAGATTGCTTGGTTCTTCGACCTCCTCGCATGGGAAGATGTAGAACCGGGCATATGTCAAAGGGATAAGAAACGATCTAGCAGGAAGTAATACTCGTATTTTTGTGCTTGGTGTAGGACTTTGGAAAAGGTGTATCTGTATGCATGTGTAGTGGTTGATAAAACAATCTTATCTTAGAGCATCTTCAACAGCTGCACTAAAAAATGACCTTTTTAGCACGCGCACAATCGATAAATGGGCTCCAGCAAATGCGCGATAAACACGCGCATGGCATATAGAGTACAGCGCGCGGTCCGAATTGCCATCGCGCACTGTGTATTTGGTGTGCCCGCTTCCGCGCGCCGCACAGTCGAGCGCTCGCGCCGCACTCTCTCCGCCGCACCACCTTCGCCCGGCCCCGCGCCGCCGTCGGTGAATTGGCCCGATGGACGCCCGCGTCGGCACCCCCCTCACCCATTCATACACCCACGACCCCTCTGTGACCGCCGCCGCAAACCCTAGCGCGGGGAGCTTTGGCTTTGCCTCCGCCTCCGCTCCTCCAAGCACCGGCATCACGTGCGGCCTTTTCATGCCGCCATGGATGACCTCGGCGGTGGGTGGCGTCACGCCGGCACCCGCTATGAAGCCACGTGCCCCCTCTTAAAGCTCCCAAATGCGGCGCGGCCGAAGAAGGGAAAGGTTTCCGCGAAGAAGAACAAGGCGGCGAACGGCTCCGGCTCCTCCAAGCCGTCGAGGAAGAAGCTTGCAGGGCATGCGACGGATGCGGTGGCTACCGAAGCACCGGCGAGCTCACTTGTTGAGCCGGCGGCCGACGCACACAAGGTGTTCGAGGAAATGCCCCAAAGGTATAAAAATTTCGCCAACTTTTTGTTGTTGTTATTTTTTGAATGCATACATATAGATAGCTCATTTGCTTCGTTGTATATCCTTTGTAGTTTCAATGATGAGGCATATATGTCAACTATGGGTGTTGGCTCCAATAATTGTCATTGGTCTCAAACCAATGACATGCATTTCGATGACCATGAGTTCGAGGTGGACGAGGATGGTGAGGGCATTATCGATGCACCGAAAGGAAGAGGAGGCAACTACACTAATGATGAAGACGTCTTTCTATGCAATACTTGGTTGCAAGTGTCGAGGGATCCATCCGTTGGAGGTGATCAAAGTAGAGATGCATATTGGAGCCGAATGAAGGAGCACTTTGATCTACACAACAAGAGTGGAATTGACCGCTCGGCACGATCTCTTCGCTCCCGGTGGTCGACAATCAACCGAGATTGTCAAAAGTGGGCGGCCGCACAAAAGGCGGTTGACAAGTTGAACCCAAGTGGCACTAATGATATAGATAGGGTAAGTGCCATTTCATCCATGTTCATCATGCTTGTTCTTGGTGTTTGTAGTGCTAACTTGTTTTTTTTTTGCAGTTCAATATTGCACAAAACTTGTTCAAAGGAGAGGAGACGAAGAGCAAGAAAGGGAAGATCAAGAAAGGGAGACCATTTACCTTGCCTCATTGCTATGAGGAATTGAAGGATGATGAGAAATGGAAAAAGTGTGATGGTATCGATGATGTTGATGAGAGCAACAAACGCAAGCGAACCATTGAGTTGGATGATGATGAGGACGAGGCATCAAGTGATGATGGCAAGAGAAGCCCTACACCAAACTCGGTTTCATACTCAAAGCCAAAACGACCGTATGGGTGCAAGAAAGACGCAAAAGAAAAGAAGAAGAGGAAAGGGAATGATGAGCTCAAAAATGCTATGGAAGCTATTGTGAAGGCAAGAAAAGAAGCGAACAAGGTGAGGAAGATGGCAAGGAACCACGATGTCGCGGCCGAGGAGAGGAGGTTGGCACCGAGGAGAGGAGGGTGGCGGTCGAGGATTGGAAGGTGGCATTGGAGGAGAGGAAGGTGGGCATGAAGGAGCGATCTAGGCTGTTGGATTGGGAGAAGTACTTGTTCTTCTTGGACACATCTATCCTCAATGAGGCGTAAAAGAAGTATGTCAATCTTGCCCGTGAAGAAGTCTTGATCCAAAAAAGAGCCATGATTCACGCCATGGGTGGCGGTGGCATTGGCGGCATGGGTGGCGGTGGCATTGGCGGCATGGGAGGCATCGGTGCCATGGGTGGCTTTGGAGCTACCATGGAGATCATGGGTGGCATGGGTGGCTTAGGAGCACCTCCGGGCGGCATTGGCGGCATGGGAGGCATGAGTTTTGCGTCTCTCATGGGAGGCATGGGAGCACCTCCGGGCGGCATGGGTGAAATGTCTTCCAGTGTGCCAACACCTTCACATGATGTTGTTGAAGATCTTGCCAACACCGCGCGCGACAATGAAGAGGAGGAGGAAGAATCGTCTTCGGATTATGAATCGAAGGAAGAGGAAGAGGAAGACAAGGACGAGGCTTGATTATTGATAGGCCATTCTTTGGTGTGAACTTTTGTGTCATGAACTTGGTTCGGATTTTGAATTTGGTTGGATGATGTTGTAGGCATGAACTTTTTATGTCATCATGAACTTGTTTGTGTGATTTAAATTATGTCATGTCTTTGTTTTCATGTTTGAAATTCATATGATGTCCAAAATGCAACATATGACAAGTGCCGGCTGCTCGCGCGCGCTGCATTTTAGCATGCCTGCTGAAGCTACGTGTGTGCGCTGCATTTTACAACGGTCGCTGGAGCCCGCGCTGGCTGCCGCGCCAAAACAGGCGATCGGCGCGTTGTAAACGCATTTTTAGCGCGCCGCGCGTTGAGTGGCTGTTGGAGATGCTCTTAGGCATGGGACCAAATCTAGAGAAGGCAATAAAGAGCAGTTTTAACATGGGCCCTCTTATCTGAATTTTGGGATAGTAATCCTCCGAATTTCTATTAGGTGAACTAGTTCGGGGATGTAACTATCATCTGATTTGAATAAAATGTGCCGCAACTTAAAAAAAAAGTTGATCCCGTAGCGCGTGGAACAGGACAACAAGCGCGTGCGTGCGTTTTATAGATTTTCCGAACAAGAAACCCACAGAATCATAATTACAGGCCAGGCCAGCCCCAGGACTGGCCCTGCTCAAGCTCCTTCCGTGGGCAAGGCACGTGGATGTCGACCCGAGAAGAGATCAAGAGATATCTTCCATCTGCAGTGACGCAGGCAGTAAGACCCGGAGAGAGCGCCATGCAGATGCAGCCTCAGGGTGACGCGGGTACAGCGGATGCGGCGGCGCTACGGCCCGACGCCATTGATGCGCTCGGACAAAGTCGACCGAGGAGCAAGGTGCGTCGTGCGTATATAGTGGAGTGAAACAGCGGAGGTACCTTGCTTTGATAAAAGCTACCTGGTGACATTAATACGTCTGGTTGGTTAACCGTCCCATCCCGTCCTGCTCCCTCACCCTGTGCATTTCAAAACCGAACCGAAAAACCATACCGAAAATAAACCGAACCGAACCGATTTTATGGTTTTTATGGTTTCTGATTTCGGTATGATATGAACTTTTCATACCGATTTAAACTTTGGTTTTTATGGTATATACTGAAAAACCGAACGGTTAACCGAATAAACCGAAGTAAAAATAAATTTATATTTCTTGAGATGAACAACCATACAAGTTGTCATTTTTCTTGTACATGAGTCAAATTCACTAATAAGCATGTAAAATTTTCTTGTAACATAGTCACTTTTCTCTTTTTAAAATGCTAAGCATGTCGATAACCATCAACAGATGAATTAATGCATGCATATATACTTATATATATAGTCATATACTATTTGTGTAAAATAATATGTGTTTTGAGTCATAAATTTGCAAATTATTATTACATCATTTTCAAATTCGCGTCAACTTTGGTTTTTATGGCATATACCGAAACCATACCGAAACCGAACCGCATTTTAATTTCATACCGTATTTACCGAAGTATTAATATCGTACAAACCGAAAAACCGTATAAACTGAACCATGTAAACCGAATAAACCGAACGCACAGGGTGACTGCTCCCCCTCTACTTGTACCACTCCACTGCACTGCTTCCATTCCATAGTTCCAGTCCACCTGGTCGAGAGTCGAGACTCAAGAGCGAGTAGCTGAGACCCACCCGTGGATTCTTTCACACATGGACGCAAAGGTAGAGGCGGCCGGCGACGACGCGGTCCCGGAGGCGCCGGAGCAGTCCATCGTCCTCATCTCCGCCGGCGCCAACCACTCCGTCGCACTGCTCTGTAAGCCGCCACTCCTCTTGCTCTGCGCCGTCAAACTGCCGCCTTGCCTTAGGCTTCTCGTCGATCGGTCTGATGATGAAGCGCGATGTGGTGTTTCAGCGGGCCAGATGGTGTGCTCCTGGGGCCGGGGCGAGGACGGGCAGCTCGGCCACGGAGACTCCGAGGACCGGCCGTGCCGACGGTGCTGACCTCCTTCGACGTGCCACGCATTACGTCCGTCGTCTGCGGCGCCGACCACACCGCCGCCTACTCCGACGACGAGATGCAGCTCTACAGTTGGGGATGGTACGCCGTCACCATGTGCGTTCGGTTTATTCGGTTTACATGGTTCAGTTTATACGGTTTTTCGGTTTGTACGGTATTAATACTTCGGTAAATACGGTATGAAATTAAAATACGGTTCGGTTTCGGTATATACCAAATTATTTCGGTATGGTTTCGGTATATACCATAAAAACCAAAGTTGACGCGAATTTGAAAATGATGTAATAATAATTTGCAAACTTATGACTCAAAACACATATTATTTTACACAAATAGTATATGACTATATATATAAGTATATATGCATGCATTAATTCATCTGTTGATGGTTATCGACATGCTTAGCATTTTAAAAAGAGAAAAGTGACTATGTTACAAGAAAATTTTACATGCTTATTAGTGAATTTGACTCATGTACAAGAAAAATGACAACTTGTATGGTTGTTCATCTCAAGAAATATAAATTTATTTTTACTTCGGTTTATTCGGTTAACCGTTCGGTTTTTCGGTATGTATCATAAAAACCAAAGTTTAAATCGGTATGAAAAGTTCATACCATACCGAAACCAGAAACCATAAAAACCATAAAATCGGTTCGGTTCGGTTTATTTTCGGTATGCTTTTTCGGTTCGGTTTTGAAATGCACAGGGTGAGTACGCCGCACGCCGCACGCCGCCTCCTGTTCCTGGATATCTTCTACAGTAGTTTCGTACTACGTGACGAGGCTGTGTTGGGTGTGCTGTGCAGGGGAGACTTCGGGAGGCTGGGACATGGCAACTCGAGCGATGTGTTCAACCCGCAGCCGGTAGTGGCCCTGCAGGGGATGAAGATCAAGCAGATCGCATGCGGTGACAGCCACTGCCTCGCCGTCACCGTCACCGGACAAGTGCATAGGTAGGTGTAGGTACCCTCAAAACCTTAATAAACAAGTAGTACGTATTGTACTCGAACGCAATAAGTTCCATCCATGCAGTATTTTGCCATGTAGGAGTATTAATGTGTTTCAGCTACTGCCTTATGCTGCTGTTTAATTTGTTTCAGCTGGGGGCGCAATCAGAACGGGCAACTTGGTCTCGGAAACAATGAAGACTCGCTGCTCCCGCAAAAGATCAAGGCTTTTGAGGTAAGTATAATTTTTGTCGTGGTTTTAGTTCAGATACAAATAAAAGAGTTATGCTGGCTGTTGGTTTTCCTTTGACATCACTGCTGTTGGGTACTAAGCAGGTAGGAAAGAACACGTCTGTGAAGCCTGTGGAGGGTTTATTTATCGAGTCTCACTTCGGTACAACCCCCTCACTAATAAACATATAAAAAACAATAACATATACGCCATACGAAAACACCTTGTACGAGGCTCTCTGCGTCAGTTCTTGTGCGTATGGGCCGGCCCATTAAGTCACATCCGCCTGTTTTATATATAGAAAAAATACTGAGAAAACGGAGGTCCATTTTATGTACAAAAAATACTGCAAAAAGAAAAAAGTACGGTGAAAAGGGAGGTCCGTTTTATGTAAAAAAATGCAAAAAGGTAGATGACGAGGACTCAAAATCGGGACCTCAAACTGTTGGCGCAAACTACTTGCCACTCGACCCAACAACTGCTTGTGATTTCATATAGCACGGATTTTATAAGAACACACAACAGTGTTCATATGTTGAAACAAATCAAAAAAATTCTTGCAAAAATGTGAATAATTTGGAAATGTCGAATATTGTTTTGGAAAAAGAACATAATTTATGAAAGTCCAATTTTTATTGAACAATTTCTGAAATTCCAAAAACTTTTTGAAAAAGAACTTTTGGGTTTCCAAGCAATTGTTTTTGGAAAATAAAAAAAATCCTGAACAATTAATAAAAATGCAAACAAAATTTGAAAATTCCAAAAATCTTCAGAAAAAAGAATGAAAACATGATTTAGAAAATATGAGCATTTTAAAGCATGAGAACATATTTAGAAACTCGAATAAAAATTGGAAAAAGCAAAACTTTTTTGGATACGTGAAGTTTTTTTTTATGCAGATTTTTTTTAAATCCGTATTTTTGTACAAAAATTGTGTACAAAAATTGAAAACAATAATGATTTTATAACTTCTAACTATTTTTGAAAAGCACGAACATTTGTTATATTCCCAAATATTTTTTAAAATTACAAACAAAATTTGCAAATATGAACATGTTTTTGAAACTTCAACAAAAAAATTATAACATGAACAATTTTTTAATTTTCAAACACTTTCCGAAATCATGAACAATATTTTGAAAATGCAAATAGTTTTAGAAATTCCCAATACGCGTCAGACGGGAGTGATACCGTTGCCTAATTGGGCCAAGGCCTAAGTGTTTTTTTATTTTCTTACCTTTTTGTTATTCTTCTATTATTTCATTAATTCAGTTTCTCCTTTTAAACGTTATTCATCTTTTTTGAAACCAGTTATATTGTTTGGAACACCAAAATAACAATTTTAAGGAAATGTTTTAAATTATTATTTAAAACTGTTATTTTCGTCTAACATTTATTAAATGATTACTAGGAAAATCGTTTACTTTTTTCAATTATGCTTTTGTATTCATTAGTTATGTTAAAACCTTAAAATAACAGTTATTAGTACATGTTTAAATTGTAATTTTAAATAATTTTTTCCTTCAAACTTGGCATGTATGCCTACTATGGGCATGCCCACCCATTGGCAAAAGTTGTGGTCATTACAAAAATGTTCCAAAAAACACGATGCTCAACGTAGTGTGTCCGGGTAGGGCAGAAGGCTCTGTTTGAGACCATGTTGTTTCTTGACATTTGTCAAATGAACCCAATTGTTTCCCCTTAGCTTGTATGACCAATTCATGGCATCATGCCAAGTTGTTTTGGTTTTTGGTAAATTTTGCATTTTGTAGAGTTTTCTCAGTCAAAAAAGGCCGATAAATGGACGAACGTGTCGCAACTTGCATAGGGTGTCGGAAATCGTTCAAAGCTGGCATGAATGCGTACCATGGGCATGCCCACCTGGTAGTAAAAGTTGGGGCCATTTTAAGAATGTTTGAAACTAGACCATGTTCAATGGAGGATGTTCGGGTAGTCCGGAAGGCTCTGTTGGAGAGCACATTGTTTATCAACATCCTTGAATTGACCCCAATTTTTTATAGCCTTATATCACAAATTCAAGGCACCATGCCAAGTTGTTTGTTTTTTCGACAAGTTTTACATTTTCTAGAGTTTTCTTAGTTGAAAAAGCCCGATAAAATCATCGGATGTGATGCAACTTGCATACGGTGTGGGAATTCATTCCAACCTAGTATGGATGCCTACCATGGGCATGCCCACCTTAGAGAAAAGTTTAGGGTTATTTCATGCACGTCCAAAACTAGACATGTTCAACGGAGGGTGTTCGGATATGCCAGAAGGGCCCGTTTGAGAACATGTTTCTTTCAGCATCCATCAAATGACCCCATTTTTTCCATGAGCTTGTATAACCAATTGAAGTCACCATGCCAAGTTGATTTAGTTTTCGACAAATCTTGCATTTTTGGAGTTTTATAGGTGAAAAGTGGCCGATAAATGGCTGGACATGATGCAACTTGCATACGGCATCAGAATTTATTTAAACCTATCATGGACGACAACCATGGGCATGCCCACCCGCTGACAAAAGTTGGGGTCATTAAAAAAAGTCCAAAACTAGACCATGTTCAACACAGGGTGTCTGGGTAGGCCAAAAGGCTCTGTTTGAGAGCATGTTGTTTCCTGAGATCCTTTAATTGACCCCCAGATTCTTTTTATAGCCATGTATCACCAATTCAAGGCACCATGCTAAGTTGTTTGGGTTTTTGATAAGTTTGCATTTTCTAGAGTTTTTCTCGTTCAAAAAAGCCCGATGAATGGTCGGACATAACACAACTTGCATATGTTGTCGAAAATCGTTCAAATCTAGCATGGATGCCTCCATAGGAATGCCCACTTGCTTGAAAAAGTTGGATTTATTTCATGCATGTCCAAAAGTAGACCATGTTCAACAGAGAGTGTTCGGGTAGGCTAGAAGGGTCCGTTGGTGAGCATGTAATTTAACCTAATTTGAATAATTATGTTATTTGCAATTACCGTCATTATAAATCAATATGAACATTTTCTTATGTCCTAACCATTTCCTAAAAAATTTCAACAATTTTTGAATTCAAAATTATGTATAAAAGTTTTACAAACTCGAACACTTTTTCCAACATTGTTGAACAAATCCTAACAATAGATGAAAATTCCGAATAAAAATTGCAAAACATATACTTTCAAGAAAATTATCTACTTTGGTTGAAACGTATTCATAAATTTGTGAACAAACAATTCAAAAAATGGGAACATTTTTTTAGGTTCCCGAATAATTATTAAAATTTTAGACAATATGTAAAAACAAGAATTTTTTGGATATTCCAGACAATATTTTAAATTTTGAAAAGTTTTCGAAAAAAATAAATTTCAAAAAGGAGAAAATGAATTAACAAATTAACAAAAGAAAACTCAAAAATGAAAAATAAAAAATGCTTAAGGCTTGGCCTAGCTAGGTGACGGTATCGCTCCTGTCGGGTGCCTGATGGGCCGATCCAAGCATTCGGGGTTTGAAAAAGTTCACAAAATTTTGAAAAAAAATGTTCACAGATTTGAAAATTTTCGCAGATTTTAAAGAAAATCACTAAAGTTCAGTGATTTTGAAACTAAAGTTCCCGAATTTGTTGTTTTAGTCGGGTTTCAAAGTAAGTTCAGGAATTTGAAAAAAGTTCATAGGTTTTGATAAAAAAAAGTTCACAAAAGCTGATAAGAGTTAGTGGATTTGGAAAACATTCATGTATTTGAAAAAAAGTTCACACATTCGGAAAAAATTCATGGATTTAGAAAAAGTTCAAAAATTTAGAAAATGTTCATGAGTTTGAAAGATTCATGAATTTAAGAAAAATCATGACGTTAAATTTTTTTTTGAATTTTGAAAATGGAAAAAATAAATGAAAAAAGGAAGAGAAAAGAAAAGAAAAACAGAAGAAAAAACCGCTCGAATCAAAAATAAAGAATACAAAAGAAAGTTGTGCTTTAGCATTGATTTGAAGAAGGAAAAAGAAGTAAACTGGGCACATCGGGTCAGTTGCCTGACTTGTTTAATAATGTTGCACTTAACCGGGAGGTCAGGAGTTGGAATCATGTGCCCGCACTTTTTTTTTTGAGATTTAACAGAAAAGAAAAAGAGTAAATGGGACCAAGCAGAAGTGTTATTTATTTATTTTTGAATATCATATTTGCATCAGTCGGTATTTCTAGATTCTACTTGAGTGGAAGTATATCTTATAGCTAACCAGTATACGATGTGGTAGTGAGGACCGTCGTTTTGGAGCCCGGGCTCATCTACACCCCTCCATAAATAGTAAAAATAGAAAAGATAGCAAAATTATTTTTAAAAAATTGTTATCTTTTGACATCCAAGTTGCTTGTGCGCTAGGAGCGTGCGAATTTTCATAGTGAAACAACGTTTAAGGAGCTGTAGTAAAAAAAAGGCTCTCAATAAAACTTAGAAAAAAGACACTTTGAAGGCCTGATTTTGTTTTTACTTTGTAGAGCTCCTTGATTATCATTTCACCATGACAATTTGCATGCTCCTAGCGCACTCGGGCATCCGGGATGCCAAATAATTTCAGTTTTTTTTCTTACTATTTTTTTAATTTTACTGTTTGTTTGGAACAAATGGGCGTCGGCTCATTTATGGATTACCGCTGTGGAAATTTGCTTTACATACTACCCCCTCCGTCCTAGTATAATATAAGAGCGTTTTGATACTGATGTAGTGTAGTGTCAAAAACCCTATTATTATGGGACTGAGTGAGTAACAAATATGAAAGGAAAATCATGCTCCTAGCTTGTATGCCAAACCCTGCACCGCCACCGAGAGTGACAGAAGAATGTGTGCAGGGTGTCTGCGTAAAAATGATCGCTGCTGGCGCCGAGCATACTACGGCCATAACAGAAGATGGCCATCTCTACGGATGGGGCTGGGGTCGATATGGCAACCTAGGTCTCAGCGACCGCGACGACCGATCAGTCCCGGAAAAGGTTTCTTCCGTTGAGGTGGGTAATCTTTTGCGGAATCTTCTCCCGATACTGTGCTAATTCAACTGTCTACTGTAAAGTTCCTGCGTTCTGAACAAGTGCTTGTGTCATTCCCTTGTAAACTCTTAATCTTCCAGGGAGAAAAGATGGCGCTTGTTGCATGTGGGTGGCGCCACTCGGTCACTGTGTCGTCGTCTGGTGGTCTGTACACCTACGGGTGGAGCAAGTATGGCCAGCTAGGCCATGGCGATTTCGAGGACCATCTGGTTCCACGCAAGCTCGAGGCCCTCAAAGACGTTTCCATTTCTCAGGTACTAAGGGCAACTCTAATCTTAATGGGCAACTCTAATTGATCCAAAAAACATGTGGGTGGCGGGGCAGCGCTGGGAGGCGGCGCGTGGCAGCGGCAGCACAGAGGCGAGTGGCGGTGCGGTGTGGAGGCGACATGGCATGGCGGCGGCGACATGGCATGGTTGCAGCCCGTCAACATTTTATGGAAAGACCATCTTCCCGTAAATGTGAGGGGAGTTGGGGGCAATCATACGATCCCATAAAAATTCTGGGTTTACTTTGAGCTATTGGAGGGCTATTTGTGCCTCAACTTCCCTAGATTTTTAAAGCATACATGAGCTGTTAGAGTTTCTCTAATTGATCCCCAATATATTTTAAAATCCTATAAAATGCATGATCCTTGGTTTACTCAAAGAAGGGATGCTACTGGAACTACAAAACGAACTCATAAAGCACATGTGGCAATTTGCCAGGGAAGAATAACAATTTCATCTATCATCATTCAGACCATTTGTTGATTTTTCTTAGTACACGATTCATTCTCGGATAATTTGTTATGTTGGAATTCAAAGTTTTTTTTTGGACAATAAGTTTGGAATATCGTTGAAATATTTGAATGATTTACATGAAAGTTTGAATTAATAAGTTACCAAAAAGTGGGTGAAATGGACTTGAAGTTAGCAAAAGGAAGTGAGAACTAGTGAAATAGAAGTTTTAGGGATTTAAGTTTTGGGGTTCGATTAGAATGTAGCCAAAAACATGGAATATTTTAGGGTTAGGTTTTCGAAACGGGGTTTTGTGAGTTAATTTTTGAGGATCGATTAGAGTTACCATAATACAGCATACTAAGCTTCCATAATGGTTTTTACTAGGGTCCACTTGCTAGAACTTGGAATGGGAGCCTTGGCGCAGTGGTAAAACCGTTGCCTTGTGACCATGAGGTCACGGGTGCAAGTCCTGGAAACAGCCTCTTACAGAAACGTAGGGAAAGGCTGCGTACAATAGACTCAAAGTGGTCGGATCCATTCCCGGACCCTGCGCAAGCGGGAGCTACATGCACCGGGCTAGCCACTTGCTAGAACTTGGGGAAATTGTCCTTTAAGGGTTATGTTTTTTGAAAAGCTTCAGTGCCTGTTTGATTCATAGGATTTAAAAAACAGGAGTAGGAAAAACTCATGAATAGGATAGGATTGCATGTGGAAAGTAGAGGATTATGAGAACACGAAAATTTGTAGAAGCGAGTGTTTGATTTGCAGGAATACGAAAAACACAGGAATCCTAAAAGTTATGGTTAAATTAAGGGTAAAACATACTGGAAGGTAAGATGGAGTTAATATTGTGCTACTTATGACATTTATCTTATTCTTTGTGGGCATGAATGTAAAAAGGAGGCTCGAGTGGGTTGCAATTCTTTTGTTTTTCCATTGGAACTCTACCCAAAGGATAAATTCCTCCGTTTTTCCTATGGTCCATTTCTTTGAATCAAATGCATGAATAATATTACCATATGAATATTTCCTATTTATGTACTTTTTCTCGATTTTCCTTGTGAATCAAAGGAATGGTTCAGGAAGACATGATCTGGTGGTGTAGATTGCAGGTGGGTGGAGGCATACAATGGCAGTCGCTTCAGATGGGAAACTCTACGGATGGGGGTGGAACAAGGTGATTAGTCATATACTCAAATTTTTCTTCATATTATATGATCCCCCTTATCTGCATTAATCTAAATTTCATTAATAAGTTCTTATATATGAACATCAATTCATTTGGTCGTTAAATATGATGTTCACCATTCTATTCTGTGAGTACGCATCTTTGCTATTGTATAATGTGATTCATAGAACATAGAGAAATGACAGGTGAGGACTTGATCTCCTTATTATGCATCTTTAGAAGTTCTCACCTCTTTGGAAATCCATCTGTTATTCTTTTGCCTTGCCATAAGTCCATAACCAACCCACCGTTTCAGCTTGCTACCAAACACAACTGCCAACACACAGAAGCATGTTCGATAAGGAAAACCCACCGAAAGCGTGAGCGTTATGCTATATGTCAATGCTAGCAACCTGTATCCAATTCATTATCTGCTGCTGGTCTTGTTTTGGTTAGCGATTTAGCTTGAAAAACTAAAGTTGTAAAGTGAAGGAAAACTAGTCTTTTTTTTCGAAAAGGGGGACTCCCCGGCCTCTGCATCTGAACGATGCATACGTCCACATTTATAGATAAAAAGAGGTTCAACAAGGTCTTATAGTCTGAAAACAATAAAAAACGGCAAGCTCACAAAGAGCCACAACGTCAAAAACAGAAGGCCCAAAAGCCACAACCGGCTGGCATAACAAAGATAGGTAAACTAATCGCCTATCCTATTACATGACCGCCATCCAAACCGGTTGAAGATATCCCGCGCTACCATCTCCCACCGGATAGATCCAGTAACCAAACGCTCCCTGGCCTCCGTCGGAGTGAGTAAGGACCACATACGGATCAGCGCAGTAGCTCGGAATAAAACCTGCAAAAAATGAAAAGTTATTGTTCTGTTAAAAGCCAAATCATTTCTGCAGTTCCAAATAGCCCATAACAACGCACATACTCCTACACGAATGTGTCTAGCTGTTTCGGACTCTATCCCAACAAGCCACGTTCCAAATAACGTACTGACCGAATTCGGAAGAGTAATGTTAAAGGCAATTTGCACCGTGTGCCACAAAACTCCCGCCAACGGGCAATCAAAGAAGAGGTGCTTGATAGTTTCGTCCCGATCACAAAAACTAGTCTGGTTACATCTTGTTATCACCTCTCTTCTTGTCCTGACCCATATTTTTAATATGTAGTTTGGCCAAGTTGGTGTCGGCGATAACATAGATCACTGTTCCCCCGTGGAGGTGAATTTCCCCGACGAACAGGTACGTGAAGTTTATTTGCACAATCTTTTGCTTATATAAATTACTTAAATGATGTGGTTGTGGCTTGGGGCTACAACATTTATGACATGTTCCATTAAATCATGTGAAGATGCATTCGACATTTGATGCTATGATATACTCCTTCCGTCCGAAAATACTTGTCATCAAAATGGATAAAAAGAGATGTATCTAGAACTAAAATACATCTAGATACATCCTTTTTTATTCATTTTGATGACAAATATTTCCAGACGGAGGAAGTAGTTTCGTTCTTTAGTCTCATTTACATATGGGTATGTGGATTGCAGAAAATTGCACAGGTTGCCTGTGGATGGAGGCATACTCTTGCCCTGACAGAAAACAAGAATGTTTTCTCATGGGGTAGGGTTGCCAGTGGACAGCTTGGTCATGGTGAAATAATCGACAGGTAAACATTTATCAAGTACATGTTGTTGCTCTTTCTTTTTGACGAGGTACTTGTCAGTTGCCACTCAGACCGCGCCAATCAATCTTTTTCTTATATATAACGTACGATAAATGAATCGACAAAACGGTTGCACCTCGTTAAGGAACACACCCAAGATGATCGATGCCCTGAGCCTGGACGGGTCTGCTTGCAAGCAGCTGGAGTCATCAAACGCTGTTCCAATGATAGGTTTGCATTTACATGAAGGTCTGCTGGAAAGTCTGTGCACATGCATTTCCTCATGTTCAGTTTACGACATGTCTTCATATTTTCAGCTAAAGTCTGGGTCCCTCCTTCGAAGCGATTCGCCATCGTCCCCGAGGAGAATGTGAGCAAGCTGCTTTAAAAGAATATTGTCATGTGGATCGTCTACTACGGAGCACCGTCACTGATACGCCACTTCACATTTTCTGTTTCCAGGTTAGTAAACCAGGCAATGGAACCGACAAGCACGCGCCTGAAGGCGATGCCAAGAGGATGCGCGTCTGAGCATATGTCCTCATTCCACCCTCCTTGGTCACCTATCAGTAATTCAGTATACAAATAAGCTTATTAGCTTGGACAATTTTCTCCTTCACCATCTAATAGTATACAACTACATGGTGCCCAGTTTTAGAGCATTGTCTTCATCCTGAAGTATGATGTATTTAATGATGTACTCCCTCCGTACATCTAGATACATTCATTTCAATGACAAGTATTTCGGGACGGAGGGAGTACTTTAGAGTCTAGTGGTTTCAAAAGGTATTGACCAAGGTGGGCGGCCGCTTGTTAAATTTTCAGTTAAAGGGAACCTCCCGATTCTGGTAATTTGTAAAAGCATAATAAAATAATAAGTTTTGTTAATTCTCACACAGCTGAGGAATAACAAAGTCTTAATCATTCATGGTTGTTATATTCAGAGCAATTAATTGAGGGGTATCCCTTGCGGGAGCCCCTCAAGGGTCACGTGTCATGTGTTGGTCGCTTCCTCCGAATTTTATTTTATATTTATTTTTATGCATTTTTAGGTTTTAAATAATTCTTTTTGGTTTTTTCAGCCTTTCGGTTTCGCCTGGTTTTCCCTAAATTTTGGATGAATTGGTACATAGTATTCGCTTCCACCAGTGTGTCTCTCAAAAAATGAAAAAAATGTGTTTTTTCGTAAGAGGCACGAATTTGTCTCTCGAAAAGAGAAAAAGACATGTTTTTTTTGTGAGAGGCACATATTTGCTTCTCGTGGATGGGGCTTGGGAACACTTGCACAGAGGAGGACATGGACTTCTTCTATGCCTCAACGACCATCATTTTGGGCAACGGTGCCAAAACACCTTTTTGGGATTCCCCATGGCTTCTTGGGCGGAAACCGAAGGACATTGCCCCTTTGATTTATGAGGCCTCCACACGCAAGAACTGGAAGGTGCGTGAGGCCCTCCATGGAGATGCTTGGATTCTTAAGATCGGTCGCAACACCATCGTGTCCGGTGACCACATCCTCCAATTCTTCATGTTATGGATGCTTGTGCATGACCTACTCTTGGATCAACAAACTGACGATGACATTATTTGGAAACACGCCAACGACGGGTCCTACTCCGCGGCCACCTCCTACAAGGATCATTTTCTTGGACTGACACTTTCGCCCATGGACTTTATGATCTGGAAGGCTTGGGCCCCTCCTAAGATCAAGATTTTTGCTTGGTTGGCTATCCAAGACCGGATTTGGACAGCCGACAGATTGGAGCGGCGCGGTTGGCAAAACTGTGGACTTTGCCCGCTTTGCAAGCGTGTTGGCGAGACGGGTGCACACCTCTTCTACAAATGCCGCTACACCATAAGGCTATGGAACTCGGTCATCCTTGAATTTGGTCTAGCGCACATGGACACCTCCTCTTGGCATTTGGATGGATCTGTTTTGGAATGGTGGGAAAAGCGAACCTGCTTGCAAAACCCAAACCGACGAGCCTTGGCCTCACTTACAATGCTAGTCTCTTGGACGATTTGGAACGAGCGTAATGCTCGGGTCTTCCGACACAAGAGCGCACCGCCTCCGATCCTTCTTCGTGCTATCATCAACAATGTCAAGCTTTGGGTTCTCGCGGGAGCTAAAAAACTGGGGTGTATTCTTGTGCGCGAGTAGTTGCCATGCCGGGCATATGGGTCATTTGTAACACTCTAAAACACTTCTCTCTTATTTAATGAATGAGGCAAATCTTTTGCCTCCATTTCGATTTTTTTTTCTTACTCGAGCTGTGCCTCTCGAAAAAGGAAAAAACATGTTTTTTTCTTCTGCGAGAGGCACATATTTGCATCTTGTGGAGACACAATTTTGGATTCGCGAGAGGCATAAATCGAGGGCTTTTTTTCTTTCACGAGAGGCACATATTTGCTTCTCATGGAGGCATAGTTGTGGCTCCCGGAAAAGCAAAAAAAAACATATTTTTCTCTTTCGGGAGAGGCATAAATTTGCTTCTCGTAAATGCGAAGAGGATGTCTCTAAGCATACGTTCTTCTACCACCCTGCTTGGACATCTATCAGTATACAATAAGCTAGCTTGGTCAACTTTCTCATTCACCATCTACTAATTTTTGGATGGGGAGGCCGAGTGCTTACTTGCCTTGAGTTGAAAGAGCCTCTGACAGAGATGCGCGTGCTGTATCACCGTGAAGTTGTAATTCAGGCCAGGGCGGAGCCTCATGATGCCGGCCGCATTCTTGTAGTCCCAGGCCGGTCTCTCCTTGTTGTCTAGAGGAGCAATGCGGCGGCGGATGAAATCGGCCCCGATCATCTCGAGCGTGAGCCCGGCTGAGGTGAGGCGGTGGATCCTGGTGGTGGTGATCGTGAGCTTCCCGTCATCAGCATCAAGCTCGCCCCAGTCGTTGCCGCGGACCGGCGGCTTCCGACGGACCTCGCAGAACTCTTGCGGATCCTTCTCCTCAATCCAGCACCACCGGCCCCGCCATTCGTCCCACTTGTCCTTTGTGGAGCCCTCCGGGTACGTGCCCTTGCTAAGAGCCCTCGGGATCCAAGTGACGCACCCAAAGATGGCGCCGCCTGCCTGGATGCGGGGGACGAAGTAGTGGCGAAAGAGTGCGGTGTTGGGATGCACCCCGGCAAAGCCCTCGCAGAGGTGGGCGAAGAAGGCCATGCATGCCACGACATTTGGCGTAAAATCCAAAAGATGGAAGCCGTAGGTGTGCATGATGTCATTGAAGAAGTCGGAGAAAGGGGGGCAGAGCCAGCAGGAGAAGTAATCGACGAAGAAAGGGTATTTGTGAGGACATGGCTTGGCGAAGGGGCCGGGGATGATCTTCGTGGCAGGATGCCCTGAGGGTGAGCGCGTCAACTGTCGAGATGAAGAGGGCGTGCTTCTTCCACAGCTTCACCAACTCTCTCTCTGGCACTTCCTTCCCCTCGGCGGCCTTGGTCGCGCCCTTGCCCTTTCTTGCTTTGGGCGCCATGGCGGCTGAGAATAGGCGAGGGATCAAGAAGCAATGGAAGCGTGGCAGCGACAAGAAGAGGCGAGAGGCTCTGGTTTGTGCTCGAGGAAGAAGAGGGGAATAACGGTTCCTAGATTGGGAAGGGCATAGAGGGTAAATGAGCAACGCCTCTGCGGATTCCTCTTTTTATGGGGAAGGCGCGGGCCGCCTCTTTACAATTTACTGTGGAGTGATGCAGGCGTGCTGCGGCCATCCCATGCACAACCCCCACGTCACGCACTCAATGCAGATCGTGGGGAAGCGCAACTGAAGAAGATTTTACAGTGGTTAAAACCCTGCCACGCGTGCCCGCGCACTGCTTTGGGCCTAGCCCAACTACGCTTTGCGCTTATGTGTGGCCCAGGCTCGGGGGCTCCCGTTAGTGTACAAAAGTATGGGATCTTCTGTACCCCTTACTTGTGTACGGGCAGTTGTAGCCACGCCTGCGGCAGGGCTTGGCAGGGCGGGAGGGGACAAAGTAGAAGGCTACCAAGACAACAATCAATCCAAAGAACTAAGAGCAGAAGGCAGACTAGCCCCCCTGGCAACATCCCTGCCGGGGCAGCCTATGTGGCCCCCGACAAGAGCCTTGCTGGGGCGACCTGCGAAGCACCAGCAAGGCCATCACCCTTGAGGCTGAGAGCTTTGACACCATCAACAGTGTCAAGGCCAAGGCTCAGGGCACGCATGCAAAGTAGAATACATATCTTTGTGAAGATTGATAACCTGCGGATCCACGTGGGACCAGAAGGTGAAGACCCCCGGCAAGACCCTTGTCGGGGACGACCACGAGGGCTTGCCCGGGGACGATTGCGGGGCCGCAGCCAGGCCTGCGCCCGACAAGGTTTTGCCACCTCACCACCACTCCAGCGCGACGACCAGCTTGCCAACTAGGCAGACGCCTATGTGGCGGCATGCAAATCTTCGTGGAGGCTCTACCACCGCGCCAACACATCAGCTAGCTAGCTAGTGTGGCACTGCATGCCTCATCATCCTGGATGCGTGTCAAGGCAAGGAGGGGCGGCGACGGACGAGACGACTTCTATTGCCGTCCCCGATAAAGTGAAGGGGCATGTAGGCAGCTCATTAAATGTGTTTGTTCTATGATGTCAGAGATAAACTTGTACACTATAGCTTGCTTTCCACCTCCTGTGTGCCACTGTGGCAACTCCTTTGACATATAAAAGGAGGCCCGAGGCGTATCGAGAGAGGATTCAGACTTTTTGGACTAGGCATGCATCGTAGCTAGTTCAAGAGCTCAAGAAAACAGAATATACACCAAAGCAGAACTAGGGTGTTATGCACCTTTGCGGCCCGAATTTGGGTAAAAAAACCTCGCGTTGATCACTAGACCTGCTCTTTGCACGACTCTCTCCCTGCCAACCATAGAAGGGATCCCCGTGATCCCATAGGTGTTCGTTTACCTGACATGGAGAACCCCACTTTTAAACTTGGGATGACATTTTCAAACCCAGAAGAATTGAGAAAGGCATTGGAAAACTACATTGTGAAGAACAGAGTGTTAGTTAGGAAAACAAGGAGCAATGCAAAAAGGCTAGAAGCCATATGTGTTGGGGACTGCCCTTGGAAAATGATTGATGTTAGAGACTCAAGAACTGGTTGCTTTCTCAATAAAACACTAGTGGATGTGAACACTTGTCAGAAGGTTCGGGAAGTGAAAGAAATGCAGCTACTTTGCTAGCAGGAAAATATCTTGAGGATTTCGGAAATAATGCCCACATGAGTTTAATGGCTTTTTCCAACAAGGTTGAGACCAGGTACAACATGAAAGTGAACAGGTTCAAATTGGCAAGGGCGTGATTAGATTTTCTGAAAAGAATTAATGGAAAATTATGGGACTATGGTCAGGAGTTGAGGAGAGAAAACCCAGGAAAAACATTATTTTTAAGTATGGGTGAAACATTCAGTTCCTTTAACTTTTGTTGGGCTACTTGCAAAAAAGGCTGGTTGAGTGGATGTAGGCCCATTATCTACCTTGATGGAAGCCACATTCAAACTGAATATGGTGG